AAAACAAAAGGATGTACTAAAAATATACTGAACTTCTTCAAAGGAGTCATATATAACAATAACCTTGTAAAAATCACATGCAATTACTGTGATTTTCACATTTTCATGAAGGGCTGAAATTAATGAATTGAACTGCCATCTTGAAATCTTTTCAATGCTGGATAACAAATTTTTTTTAAGCAGTAAAATGGGCAACAGTTCATAAAGCAAAAATAAAAAATATGATAATAACTTTCAGGGGGGAATAGTGCAAATCTTATTTGTTAAACAAAAAGTATAATAAAACAAACATTAAATACCATAAGAATCAAATTGCCTAACATATGCCTCCATGAGACCAAATGAGAATTACACAAACATTATATGTAATTCTATCTCAAGGTTCTCATTGCAGTTCTTAGCAGAGAGCATGAGCAGTCTCTCATATAAGGAGATCATGTGCATCCTTTTGCTTGTACACATGATTGATGCAGTCACTAGTGGCATGGTGTAGACACAAACTCAAGCTGTTTGTATAGCAGTGCAATATTTGCTTAATCACTATTTGCTATCCTTCAATTATTCTTTTATCTGTACATTAAAAGAGATAAAAGGAAATAATAATCTTTTGTCACACTATATGGAGAGAGAGAGAGAGAGAGAGAGAGGAAAAAAAAAAAAAAAAAAAAAAAAAAAAATTGTCTCACAGTATTCAGATGCCATTTGAATGGAGTGTAATGCAGTCTTAAGTTGAGTATTACAGATGGCAATGAACCTAATTCATGAGTTTGAGTCAAATCATGACAGTTACTTGGCCATGTTCTTGATATGAGCATATATTGCTGCCTGGAATGATTCTCGTCTAGTAGTTTCATGCCAGAAACCAATGAATATGTGGGATTGCATACAGAATATCATCAGATGCAGGTTCACATACATAAAGTTAGCCACACACAGAACTATCAATAAATAGTTAGTTTGGCTCAAGTTCAGAAGTTGAGAACGGAGTCTGTCAATCAAAATAATTCCTGGAAATTTTTGTCATATATCCTGACCTTAGTAATATAGGTAATGGAAGTAAAACACTGGTTTGAGTTCCTAGCCAGGTAAAGCTAAGAACTAAAGCACAAAGCACAGCTTGCTTATGCTGCTTCCATGGCCAAACACCTACCTCACCATTTACACTCATTGAAAATCTACAGATCATGAATGAAGCACATGGAGATTCTGATGACTGCTCCCTTTTTCTAAATTCCAAGCCAAAGACAGGTTAGCAGTGATGTGATTTCCTGAGAGAAAATTCATAAATTGGGTACATAGAAAACAAATACTGGAGGAGGGAGGACACAGCTTTTTTTTGTAAATATGATTTTCAGTCTAGATGTCTGAAAGTCAACCAATCATACAACAACAAAAAAGAATAACAATTCAAACCTTCCTTCTCTTAAAAAAAAGTATGCCTAAATGCTTCAAACACTCAGCAATCTGAAAATCTTTCCATCTGTTTTCTAAAACCAAAAGGCCTTTTTGTCTTTCCAATCTCCTCTGACCTCCCAATCAGCCTACTGGTGCCTCACTGTAGGCAAATTTGAAGCCATAGCAACACCAATCCTGGAAGTGTTGCAATCTCCAGTTGTATAACATTCAAATTCTTCAATATAGAATTTTGTTGGTTTTGAGAATCATCATGTAATGATAATAATGATCCACATTTTGATATCTGAATAATGATATAAACATAAAAAAAATAAGACTCTTTTCAAGGGATCCGAAAAATCAAACGCATTTTGATTTACCTACAAGTAATGAATGTCATAAACCAAAGCTGAAATCATCTTATATGTGTGGAAAAGGTAGAAGGAAAATATATATAGTAAAAGATATAGAAAAAAAGGACAACTGTACAATTCCAATGAATTTCTCTCAACAGGAACCAGCTTACTGGTTTGGCCTTATATACCTTTTTCTCCGAGAGATTCTTGTCCAGTTGTAGATGATTAGTTTTCAGTTCAACAGGAAGAGTCTGAGAAAAAAGTAAAAAAATAGAAGGTTAGATAAACCATTTCAGGACCAACTGATTGAATTTGAATGACCTATTAATCTGTATTCCTCTAGTGTGCACAGTTACTTTGACAAAACTAATGAACTCGTGTGCTCTTTTCATGCAACTAATGCTGAGAGCTTGATTCCTATAAAATAGGCATTATTGCTAAAAGCTAGAATATTTGTGCTTTAATCCTGTGATCAAGGAGTTACATTCCTTATACTTATCAGACATTCAACAGAAGTCTACATGACAAATTTCATTTATATTTTTCATTAGTCTTTTCCATTCAGTTTATTGTGTAATATCTCAGAATCAACTAAGCATTATATAATTCTTCATATTGACAGAGGGTTCTCAAACATTTTCTTTTTAAAAATCTGTGAAGTATCAGACCAAACCTTCATGAATTGGACTATCAATAATGAACATCAATAACAATCATTCAGTATGAATGGTATTATACTGTCAATAGGT